TGAGGAGGACTGGTGTGCCTTTGAGACCCTCGAGTGAGTCCTCTTTAGTCTCATGGAAGAGAATGCAGGTCATTGGGAGGAGGAGATACTGAATTAATCTAGGAAGAGAAATGTGGAGGCCTGGAGGAGGAAAGATGACAGAACAACAGACTGGCGGAAGTGCAGAATAGAGTGCTGGAAGATGCAGCCATAGAGGACAGCAAAGGTGTGTGCTGAAGGGCTGTGTAAGCCTTGTCAATGAGCCGGGCAATGCACTGCTTAACAAAGGGGTGAGGCCCTAGCAGCTGGTTTGGCTCAGCGGATAGAGCATCGTCCTGAGGACTGAAGGGTCCCAGGTTCGATTCCAGTCAAGGGCACATGCCCAGGTTGCTAGCTCCAACCCCAGTGGGGGGTGTGCAGGAGGCAGCTGATCAATGCTTCTCTCTCATTGATGTTTCTAACTCTCTACCCCTCTCCCGTCTTTGCTGTAAAATCAATAAAATATATATTTAATAAATAAATAAAATTGGTGTGGAAGAGGGGTGTCTGTCTGAGATTGACAAATATATTGATTGCTTGGGACACACAATCCTTATACAACCCTTTAACTTAACTAATCCCTCTACATTACTAATAATATCTAATATTTAATAGCATTTATTAAGTGCAATTCTCCAAGGGCAAATTACTCTCTCTGTGTCTCAGTGTTCTCAGCTGTAAAACAGGGAAAATGTGTGTACATATGTAAAAACTAAAAATATATATATACATTTATGATTTGTGTGATTTACTATATGTTTGATACACCTCAATTTTTTAAAAAATTCTAAAAGTATAGAAAAATAATATATCTAAATACTTTTATTGTGCTGCCATTTGAAGTGTGATTTAATTGTATTTATTTGTCCACTAGGGGCCCAGTGCACAAATCCGTGCACCTTGAAAGGAATTGTGGGCCCCACTAACAGTTCCGGGTGCCTCCTATCCTGAGGCACGAGGACCCACGTGGGACTGCCCCTGGCACTGCCTGACGGGCGAGTTCCCGACAGTCAGGCTGGGGTCCATCACGCGGACCACATTTGCAGGAGCTGGGAGGTTGGTTACAAGGCGTTCGAGTCCCCGCGGGTAGGGTGGCGGGATGGGTTCTCACCTCCCGGCTCAGGCTCGGACCGGGCAGCCCGGCGCGTGCCGCGGCGGAGGAAAGCCCCCAGCGCAGGCCCCGGATATTTGTTTCTGCGCCGCCGCCATCGTCCCAGATGTTGGGTCGGGACACACACTTGCGCTCGCGGTCGACGGGTCATAGGGGTCGCAGAGGCCGAAGGCGGCGGAGCCAGATCGGGAGTCGAAGCAGACATCGGAGCAGGAGCCATGGGTGGCGAAACCGGCGGCGCCGGGACGACGAAGGGCGACGAAGCCGGGAGCACAGGTCGGATTCAGAGGAAGACCAGGGGCAGCGGCAAGGAAGACAGAGCCGGAGCCCACAACCACCTCAGTGGCGCTCACAGGACCAGTCCTCTCAGTCTGATTCACGCAATGAGCGGCAGTGGCATCACCAGGGCCGCTGGGCCCGCCGCCGGAGGACCCGCTCTTGCTCCTCCTCATCCAGCTCTGCATCCCCAGATCCCTCCCAGAGCTCGAGGCAGGTGGCTGCGGCCCTGAGCCAGCAACAGAACTTGCAGGGGCGGAAGCAACAGGAGGAGCTGATGAAGGCCTTCCAGATGCCTGAGGAGAAGCGGGCCCGGTGCCTGGCCAAGAAGGAGGCCAAGGAGAGGAAAAAGCGGAGAAGATGGGCTGGGGCGAGGAATACATGGGCTATTACCAACACCGACAACCCCTTCCGCGACAGCAACCTCCTGGGCACCTTCATATTGTACAAGGCGCTGGAGAAGGAGGGGAGCAGCCACCTGGAGGAGCGGAACAAGACGATCCAGGAGGACAATCAGCTGGAGCTGCAGAAGGTGAAGCAGCTCCGGCTAGAGCGGGAACGGGAAAAGGCCATGTGTGAGCAGGAGCTGGAGATGCTGCAGCGGGAGAAGGAGGCGGAGCACTTCCAAGACGTGGGAGGAACAGGAGGACAACTTCCACCTCCAGCAGGCCAAGCTTCGCTCCAAGATTCGAATCCGGATGGACGGGCCAAGCCCATCGACCTGCTGGCCAAGTACATCAGCGCCGAGGACGATGTCCTGGCTGTGGAGATGCATGAGCCTTACACTTTCCTCAATGGCCTCACGGTGGCTGACATGGAGGACCTGCTGGAGGATATCCAGGTACCACCAGCCCCACCACCCACACCCTGGCCTCCCCAAGACTGTGCTTTCTCCTCACCCGTGTCTGCCTTCGCCTCCAGGTGTACATGAAACTGGAGCAGGGCAAGAATGTGGACTTCTGGCGGGACATGACCATCATCACGGAGGATGAGATCTCTAAGCTCTGCAAGCTGCAGGCCTCTGGCAAGGGCCCAGGCGAGCGACGAGAGGGCGTTAACACCTCGGTCAGCTCCGATGTGCAGTTGGTCTTCAAAGGGAAGACGTACAGCCAGCTGCAGGTCATCTTCCAGGGTATTGAGGGCAAGATCCGGGCCGGGGGCCCCAACCTGGACATGGGATACTGGGAGAGCCTCCTGCAACAGCTGCGTGCCCACATGACGTGTGCCAGGCTTCACGAGCGGCACCAGGACGTGCTCCGGCAGAAGCTCTACAAGCTGAAACAGGAGCAGGGTGTGGAGAGTGAGCTGCTATTCCCCATCCTCAAGCAGGAGCCCCCGTCTCCTGGCCACAGCCTGGAGCCTGAGGACCAGGCCCTGACCCCCGCAGGGCCCTCCTTGGAGGGTGGCCCCATGGAGCCTGAGGCAGAGGAGGCCACACCGGCAGAGGGTGAAGCCGAGGGGGAGGCCGTGCTCATGGAGGAGGACCTGATCCAGCAGAGCCTGGACGACTATGACGCCGGCAAGTACAGCCCCCGGCTGCTCACGGCCCATGAACTGCCACTGGACGCCCACGTGCTGGAGCCCGAAGAGGACCTGCAGCGCTTGCAGCTGTCCCGGCAGCAGCTCCAGGTCACGGGCGATGCAAGTGAGAGTGCGGAGGACATCTTCCGGCGGGCCAAAGAGGGTATGGGCCAGGACGAAGCACAGTTCAGCGTGGAGATGCCCCTGACGGGCAAAGCCTACCTGTGGGCTGACAAGTACCAGCCTCGCAAGCCACGCTTCTTCAACCGTGTGCACACGGGCTTCAAGTGGAACAAGTACAACCAGACACATTACGACTTTGACAACCCACCACCCAAGATCGTGCAGGGCTACAAGTTCAACATCTTCTACCCCGACCTCATCGATAAGCGCTCCACCCCCGAGTACTTCCTGGAGGCCTACCCCGACAACAAGGACTTCGCCACCCTGCGCTTCCACGCCGGGCCGCCCTACGAGGACATTGCCTTCAAGATCGTCAACCACGAGTGGGAATACTCACATCACCATGGCTTTCGTTGCCAGT